GTTATGAATAGGCAATCAAAAATATTGTCCAATGGACCAAAATTCATGAATTTCTTTTACAGATAGTTGACTTCGAACTCAGCAGCTATTCATAAGCTAGTAGGTGCATCGGAAAACATGAATACTCCATCGCCCTTTAACAAATGTTTAGTTTTGCCTATGCATGATAAAAATAACAGTAGTTATGCCTCTTGCATTCCAAGTAAAATTAACTGATGGTCGCTTGAGTCTTGTTACCTTGATGGTCTTTTTAGAATGTGTCATACTTTTGCAGATAATTTTGTGGACATGTGAATTGTAGGTATGTATGGTATGTGCATATTCCAGCAGGTTATAAATAGGCTTTCACTTGCAATACCAAATTGTCCACGTGCCTTGCACAGACCGCAAATCTGGACACAAGCTGACCTTTTGTTGCACATCAAGCAAAACTAGTTAGGTGAGCAACCACAGCAGCAGTTGGCAATTTACTGTGTAGGTGTGCAAGTTTGTGAGCGTGTGTATGTGTGTGTGACATAAATATGCTGACAACGTTGCATTTGCGCTGCATGAGAGAAATACTCTATATCTTGAATAGGACTGACATATGCAGCCGCAAAAGACGATGACCATGGGCCGCCTGGCCTGTGCAGAGGTCCTGCTCTGTAAACTGTTGTGTAAACTGTTGGCCGGGCTGATGGTAGGAACTTTTAATTAAATTTCGAACTGTATCTGCATCAATCGCAAAAGCAAACTCATGTGTGTATCATCATATTGTAAAAAAATTGTGCGTGGCGTGAATATACAAGTACGTGTGGTACACATAAATGAATGCTGTGTGCAGAGTCCTTTTCGAATTTCTCTGTAAAATAAAATTAGATTAAACCACGCATTGACATTGAAACAAGTTGTATTTGATTTTTGTCCTGAAGGTCAGGCGGATGGAGTGTGGCGGCAGAGAAGGCGGACACGAAGATTCCCGGTTTCAATTGCAGTTGCACTTTATTTGATTAACTGTTACCAGACACGCGCGAACCAAAGGCTCGATTGCATTTTGCACGGAAATCCAATTAAGTTTGTTCAATGACTTCTTTGAACTTCTAAGGATTTGCAACAGTTACACGAACTGTTCAGATAAAATTGTCATACCTGGAAGTTGTGCAAAAAAATGTTGCTGCTACTCAAGTCCGAGTGAAGTTTGCAACACTCACCTGCAGCTGTATTATCCGCATGTCCTTAAAATCTAAAGACTCTCTTTGGTCTATTATTAGACTATAAGCCACCTTTTTATTATAGAAATTCTATCTCTTTGTGTGCCTTACAAATTTTGCATCAAACTGATGAGCCAAGATTTGCTTGCTGAACGCCCACTAGGCACACCATAGGGCTTGGGGCTTGGGGCTTGGGGCTTCTTATAACGTGATGACAGCAATTATGAATGAGTGAAGGTCGTAGGATAACGAGCGCCAGGCAATTCATCATCATGTTGAGCCGCACTGGACATTCCTTTGTCTGCATTCATATATATCTTGTATATATACATTTGCATATAAATATATTTTAAAGCGGGCTTTCTTCATTTTGCTTTAATGGCGTCTTTCATAAAAGTACATTGCCATCTGTTTGGCATGCAAACAAATGATGACGTCATGCAGTAGCCACACAATTTGCATGCAAGCCGGTCGTTTACCAAGCAGTCCTCCCATCATTTTTCTCGCTTACTTGCAGTTTTTGCTTTGCTCCCATTACGCTACCTCCAGACTATAGTAAGTTGAAAAGTATTTCTAGCACCCATTCAGTGAACGGCCTTCTGAAAGGTCTTAACAAAACGCGTACGTCATGCGACTACAGAGCTTAACTTCCGGACGAGTAGCAGATGTGTACGTGAGTGTATATCTGTGTGTGTGTGTTTTTTTTTTAAGGAAATCAATCATCCAGAAATAGATCAACTCGTTCTAGTCGCCAGCGCCATCGACATAGTCCTCGTTCTCGTTTTCGTAGACACGTTCAGGTCTACTGCGTCGTTGTCGTCATTTGGGTCCCCTGGTTGAATTTGGCCATTGTTTTTATTGTACTATCTATCGCTATCGTACATTGTATCTGTGCGCAATGCTAGGCCAACAGAAAGTGACAACAAAAAACAGCGTAAAAACAACCGGAGAGCTTTTCACGACGGGCGGTCGCGCCGTGCCCTGTCCTGTAGCAAGGGTATTAGTCCGTTGAGCACCCGCAGGCGCAAACAAAGCGTACTTGAGACCCGCGTAGCACATTTTAAAGTCTGCGTTTGACAGTTGCCTTTCGCCGCAGCCAGGGAATATGTCAATTTGGTATAATAGCTCCATTGATGGCTAGCGCCCACGTTCGTAATTGCATTTAAGTTTAATGAAAAAAAAACCACTAAATTGCTAACCTTCAGCGCATTTTCAAAACATTTATCCGATTCGAATTGATGGTAGTCAATCAATGAAAGTTTTTAATAGGTTTATAGGAAGTGCGTCTTAAATGTGTCTCTTCTGAGTGCTAAAGCAGAATTAGGAATTATCCGCGATACTCAACTATTTATACATATCCATCAATACATATATATATATATATATTCATAGGAAATATAAGAGCTCTGTAAAGCTCTTCATATATACTTACTCCTACTAAAAATCCTGGCAGTAAAATTCTTCCTAAAAGGTTTTTATAACATATGCTTTTGTGTATTGTCCTTAATAAATGCTGACCACATTAAAGAGTATGACTTGGAAGGTTCGGAAATAATAATTTAACAGACCGGATATTGGGAACAGAGCATAATGAACACATTTTCTTTTGTGCTTTCAAAGGATTCAGATTTGTTATATGATTTAAATGCCAGTAGGTTTTGCGCAATTTGGGCTGTAATTAATTAAGATTTAAACCGAGTCTAAAAGGAAAACAAGTAAGAGGTTCTAGCTGGGAGCTCCCGACTAGGGGATACCCTGAAACCTCTTCTTCAAACATCAAATGCATATATATATTCTATTGTAGAAGCAATATATTAAGTTTGGGGACTCTAGCTCTTATTATTTACCGAAATTGACAAAAAAACAGGATATCGATATCGATTTTTATCGATTGCTTGGAAACGGAGTAAGTTATCGATTATCGGAACCAAATACGATCTGCGCAGGTACTATATATATATCTATAGCTCTTATATGTTCTGAGATCGTTGCGTTCATACATACGGACGGACGGACGGACAGACAGACGGACATGGCTAGATCGACTCGGCTATTGATGCTGATCAAGAACATATATACTTTATGTGGTCGGAGATGCTTCCTTCTGCCTGTTACATACATTTGAATTTTGCACAAATACAACCATTTTTAATGGGTTCAGGATATAATAATAATGGTTGTTAAAACGGAATTCAGCTAAAATCCATGATAAGAAATTATTATAGAAAGAATATAAAATAACATTCATTTAACAGTCTTAATATACATACTATAAGTGTCGTAAGCATATATTATTCCAAATATAGTCAACGCATATTCGCTGAACTATTTGCTCAATAGTGCGAGAGCTATATAAATAGACCTTGGCCCTCTGTCTGAAAGGAAGGAAGCGTTTTTATAGCATACAATTGAGCGCTAATCTAAAAGGTAAAAGTATGCTTGGCCCAAAATAGTAATCATCATAATAAAACAGGCTAAAAGTTTTTGGCCTCGTGTCGGCAAATTGAACTTAGTCACAGGTGCTGCTGTTAACAACGACAACAACAATAACAACAACAACAATAACAATAATAATAACATCGGCAGCAGCGAGGACGAATTCAAAAGCGTCAACGACGATGATTACTACGACGTCATTGTCCTGACGCCAAAACGTTGTCGCGCCGGCTTTGTTCATTTTCATTCATTCACAAAAATTTGCCAATCCTATTAATCACCCAACTCCCACCCAATGGCTCCGAGCCCCCGCTTACTCATATTGTGTATAGCACATATATAAGGTATATAAGCCAAGTATAGCAATAAAATCAAGAGCAGTTGTGAATCAACAGTGCGTCACCAAAGCTGAGCCAGCCAATCCAATCGCTGGTGCGGCGGTTCCTATTGATTGCCTTCACGTGCCGATACTTAAGTTAGCGCCTCAAACCCCTTCTTCCCAGGCTTCCTCATTGTTTTTCTCTTTTCTAAACGAAACTCACAAACCGTCTCGCAATATTTGCAGACACGTCTGTAGTTTTTTCGGCTTTGCCAAGCTCGTAAATATTTCGGGCCGCAATTACGTTTGAAATTTTGTTACGTCAATGAATTGCATTTAGTTTTTGGGCCGTCATCAATGTGGGTTGTAGGCAACTGCTAATGTGCTTGTTAACGAGATTATTAAAAGGATCTGTTTTTTTTTTAACTTGCAATTGCTAAAGGGCAATGTAGTTTTAATTTTGGTGAGGTAACTTTTTGTTTTTTTATATCCTGAACCCATTAAAAGTGGTTATAAGAGTATATTATATATATGCAAAATCCAAATGTATGTAACAGGCAGAAGGAAGCATCTCCCTCCTCATAAAGTATATATATTCTTGATCAGCATCATAGCCGAGTCGATCTAGCCATGTCCTTCTGTCTGTCCGTCCGTCCGTCCGTATGTATGAACGCAAGGATCTCAGAACATATAAGAGCTATAGACTTGAAAATTTAGATGTAGGTGCTCCTAGTGCCTGCGCAGATCGAGTTTGTTTCCGATAATCGATAACTTACTCCGTTTCCAAGCAATCGATAAAAATCGATATCAATATTCTGTTTTTTTTTGGCAATTTTGGTAAATAATAAGATCTAGAGTCCCCAAACTTGACACATAGCTTCTAAAATAGATTATATATATGCATTTGATGTTAGAAGAAGGGGGTTCAGGGTATCCCCTAGTCGGGAGCTCCCGACTAGAACCTCTTACTTGTTTTTTATGTTTTATGGCTTAAATTTTATTCACTTGGACCTGCACTTATCTAATTCTAGATCCTCTCTCTTTTTTCTTTGCAGCCCAGCCATGTCCGACGCGGCCAAGTCGAATAACAACGCCGCCAGCTCGGCGAACGTTGATGAGGATGCCGGCGATCTCACACCGACGACAACGAAACCACGCAGCAATCACAACAACAACAACAGCAGCAAATTGAAATCAACCCAAAATAGCAGTGAAGGCGGCAGCATAGACAAACTTTCACCTGATCAGGACATTTTTATAAATGCCGCCGACGGGCTGCCCAGCCAACATCCGACGTTGCCGCCAGAAGGCGATGTGGATACCGATACGGAGCCAGAGGTAGATGCTGATTCGTTTGATGATTTGCCAACATCCATCATTGTGACCAACATACATTCGGAGGTGTTTGCCAATCCTGATCTTAAGCATGCCATGGAGGAGCTGTTCCGCACCTTCAGCGAGTCGGCCACCTTCCAATGGCTGCGCAGCTTTCGCCGACTCCGCGTGAACTATGACAATGCCATTGCGGCAGCTAATGCACGCATCAAGCTGCATCAGTACGAGTTTAACAAAAAGACGGTGATCACCTGTTACTTTGCGCAACCGGTGACACCCGTTAGCAACAAGAATCTACAGCCACCGGCGCCGGTGAAACAGTTCCTTATCTCTCCACCCGCCTCGCCGCCAGCTGGTTGGGAACCACGTGAAGAGGGTGAGCCGCTTGTCAATCACGATCTGCTCGCGGCCTTAGCCAGTCTAACACCCGGTGAATCGCACGAGCTACATCCACAGAGCGAGGATCAGCCGGCAATTATTGTGCACACCGCCATGGTGCCCGAGGGAGGGGGCGTAGGCACAGCACTACAACCAAAGGCGCCAATTGTACAAACCAAATGTCCGGAGCGCGCATAAGCGCCCAACTTGGAGCTTAAAATGGAATGTTTGGCGGCATGTGGAAGAGCCAGCACCAGGGCCCACCAGGCACCATCTATATAGAAGAGAGATCTCAGAAATGAATAGCTTAACCAGATGGGGAATGGGCACACAGCCAGCATGCATAGACAGCTGTGTAGCAGCCTGGTGGCTGAGAGTATTTTTTGTAAATAATTTCTAAAAAAAAAAATTCGATTGTGATTAATTTACACGTAGCTATGTTTTAAATTAAGTACTTGTACTCTCTCGTTCGAAGCGGATTTAAGACTTGGTTTTCATTTCCCATTTGATTTGTCTCGTGTGTAGCCGTCGAGCATTTACCAAACATTAGCTTATCTTAATGTGAGCCAAGCGGAGCTGTTAATTCCAATTAATTCTAGATGTGTTTGTCGTTTGCATACGAAGTCGCGTTGCCTCTATCTCTCTTGGTGTTCGTTTCTATTTGTATCGATGTCAGCAATGTCCTCGTTACTCGTGGCCATCCACAAAATCTAAATGTACCTTCATGCTAAAACACAACATAAAACACAAAAAATTAAAAACAACAACTCTATATGTTTGCGAGTAGCTGCAAGAACTTTGCTCTCAAGATAACGAAGAAACCTAAATCCAAAGCCAGATATGAATATTTGTATCTATTCGGTTATATCTGTGTATATGTAAATGTTGATCTAATTGTAAGCCAGAGAGAACTCAGATAGCTAAATCTGATAATGAAATACGTATAAATGTATACATATTAGCTACAATTAAAAAACGAGTAAATAAACGAAAATATATTTAAATTCAATATGTTCTCAATTGTATCAAAAATCATTAAAAACCCATTTTAAACAAAAAGCAGCCTGTGTTATCTTGATTCTCATTGTATATATCTGGAAAATTTAAAAGGATTCAATGCTTTTTTATGCCGGAATTGTATATATTTTATCTGGTAAAAAAACTTATTTGTCATTGTCGCACAGTTGACCAAGCTGTACCTCATTTTTTCTATTTTCTTCAACTTACACATCTGGATGGTATTTAGAGTTCTCGCAGTTCTTAGAAAAATTAACTTAAATGACATTGTTGTTCACATTATCATTTCCTGTGTATTTATTTTAGAGCGAAATATTTATTTACCGGCGACCTTATTCCGCAAAAAACCTTCAACTAAACCCATAACTATGCACACTTACAAAGATTTTAGCAAGACGTACAGCATACTTTTAAGCTAAAACTGTTTATACTAGCGACTTAGGTATTAGCCGAACAATGTTTTGCTACCGTAGCTGTCTGTTTTAATTTACTGTATTTATTATTGTTAGCGTAGTATAAGACCATGTGAGAGAGATTGCGACCTCCCACCAACCGAGTCTCCAGTAGTCATTCAAATTAGTTTCTTTCGTTATCGAGCATAGCTCTTTAAAGCCAAGAAATAGCATTAAATTTGTAGGAAAAAAAAACAAGTCTTAAACACGAGTGAGAGACTGCAACTTTGCAATTGCATCATATAATTTGAATTAAGCCTTTGATCCGCAGCGTTTTAAAGGTGATTTGTCAATTTATTAACATGATAAAACTTAACTAAAATTACACTGCAAAAGCAGCTGCTGTGTTTGTTGGTGTGTGGCGTGTGTGCTTTATGAGAAGGCTTAACAAAAAACAAAAAAACAAAAACAATGCCAATTATTATTTGGTTTCAATAGTTTTGAGCGGCACCATTTGTTCTGGATCGTCGGGATAAGTACTGTCCTGGCGCTGTTTGGGACCAGCACATTGACTGAACCAGGTGTCGCCCTTGCCAAAGTTCTCGCCATCCTCAATGGACTCTGGCATGGGCTTGTTCATTGTCTCTGGCAGGAACATGACCCAGAAGCCCGACAAAAGGGCGACCACACCGAAAAGCACAGCTGGAATTTTGGGATCGAACGAATCCCCAAGCAGAGTGATCAAGGGTGTTAGCGCACCAGAAAAACGGGCACACATAGAGCCCAAGCCCATGGCTGAATTGCGCACCACTGTAGGAAAGAGCTCCGCCGAGTAATTGTAGATGACAGCAAAGGAGCCAGCGATGAGCAATTTGCCCAACATAACAATGCTAGTGGAGAGCGTGGTACCCTGCGCTATAAAGGCGGCCACAATGCAACAGAGCCCGCCGCTGAGCATCAGAGTGGAGGTGATGGAGCGACGTCCCAGGCGATCCAACACAAAAACAATTGTGATATAACTTGGAAACTCCACTAGACCCATAAGAAACAGTATGAGATAGGGATTGCCATAAAGCTTGCCCGCGCTCAGTGACAGGCCATAGTAAACAATCGAGTTGGCAAACCAGCAGAGGCACACATTCAGCGTCTTCATCCGTAAATTGGGCGTGCGGAAGAGGTCGCTGAGGCCCGCACTAGACTTCTCCTCGACGGCAGCCTGTTGCTTGGCCTTCTGCACAAAGTAGTCCTTGTCTAAAGGTATGCCAGAGCCGTTGATGCGCAGTCCCTTGGCTACAATATCCACAGCCTCCGCAGCGCGTCCCTGCATCCAAAGCCAGCGTGGTGACTCATCCAACAGCCACCAGTGGGCCAGAAACAGGCAACCGTGGAGGCCATACACCACCTGCAACAGTTGACGATCCTTGATCAGCGCACCCCAGCCGGCCACAAGCATTATGCCGCCAGCAAATACAGCCTGCAAATCCCATGAAATTCATTATCTATGATCTTAGCAAAGATTCCATTAAAAAAAAAATGTACTCACTTGAAACGTAATGCCGCAAACTGTGCGCTTGCTGGGACCCACAAGCTCCATGGTCAGCACAAAGCCACAGATATAGGCACCAGCAGAGCCCACAATTCCTAGCAGAAAACGAGCTACCATGACCGAGAAGTATTCCGGTATAAAGGCCACGCCCACACCAATAAACAGCTGCAGCAGCGCCGACCAGCAGAATACGGTCTTGCGACCGACCTTATCGGCCAGGCCACCCAATGTCACAGCTCCTGTAAATGTGCCCAACATGAACACGGTCTGAATTATGGCGCCCATCCAGCGACGATCGCAGACAAAGTCCCAGTCGATGGTGCGGGAGGACTTGTAGTATGTCGTATCATACACATACTTCTCGCAAGGTATCCGGCTGTGGTCCCCAGCGCTCGCATTGAACATGACGCACGATTCCAGATCGCCGGTTTCCGTTAATGGAATAGCGTCGATAATAGGGCGGGAATGCCAAGTCTCTGAGACCTGGGAAAGACTGCTGTTGTCCACACCCGCAATAAAGCAGCGATGCTCGGGCACAGCAGCAACAGTCACCAGCGAGAGCATGTGCATACCCGCCGTGAGAGCGGACAGCACTTGCAGAAAGAATTGGGCAAATTGATATTTACCAAATTCACCTGAAAGATAAAAATTAACTAATCAATTTATCTAATTTAATTAAATATAAGAAGGGGAAGTCGTATTTGGATTAATTTATTATTGTCTGTTAATACCGCTGAAAATAACATTTGAAAATTGTTGTATATAGCCTAAATTAGTTAAAATCACAATTTAATTTGAAATTTATCAGAACGTAAATTGTCAGAACTTGTATTTATTTTACATAATCATTCGAACTAATCCAAATCAATATTAAATGGAGCAGATAAGCCTAATTGGTCATGCCACATTGTTTTCGGTAAGTATTTATGGGAATTTCACGAAGTTCCCTGAATTAAACGTATCAAGAATCCGAACAAGTCGAGCTGATTGAAAATAAATTTTAACTCGATATATGTATTTATATGTAGACTCTTGATGGAATTAAACTTATTGCATTATCCACTTTCACATGTCACATGTATGGCATAACGAGTTATCCAAAAGCACCAGAGCTCTTTGAGTTGCCAAATTGGGTTATCAGATACGCGTTGATGGGCGGAACTGAACACATTTAACGGTGCCGCCAGAATTGTCGTCACTCCGTAGACGTTGCAATTAAATCAAGTGGAATTTATTCAATTCGATTTCAATTGAAAAGCATACAAATGCGCGGTAAACTATTTGCCAACTGTGTTTTGGTTTTGTTTGTTTTTTATTCTCTTTTAGTTTTCTATGAGCTATTGACGTCGTGAGGAGCTCAAAATGCATGGGCCTGTTATACTATTGCATGGACTGAGCTGTGATCTGGCTGCTCGAGGGCAGGCACTGTGTAAATTTCTTTGGACATAGCCTAGATATTTGACACATGAACGGTCCAATGTTCAATCGGCAATTACAATTGATTTGCTGTACAAACTAGAACTATAGCAATATTGATTTATTTGAACTCGTTGAAGCGGCAAACATCAGCTGCTAGACCAAACAGCGACAGAGTATTTCCACACGTGATACCATCGTCTAAGAATTTAAAAACTACTTGGCTGATTACACAATGGGCGTGAAATTATGTCACAGATCTCTCGCAGAAACAGTAGTTTTTAATTAATACCAATTCTACATTCCGACGATATTTAATTAAATCCAATTACGTCTTATGTATATGCATAATCGGAACAACAGGCGACCGATCGATGGGCGACTATAATCAAATTGAAAACAAAAAGCATCAGAAATACTGACGGATTATCAGAAAATCAGTCCCTAAAATAAACATATACTGCACCAGTTTATGGCTTGTTTATGGGCTTTATTATGCTAGAGTATTGGCCCAGTTTGGTACCAAATGGCCCTTGAGCACAATAAAGCGCACGAATTGTTTGTTTTAGTAATCAGACATGGCATAAAACGTGTATTTGCGATACACTGCCACCATAAATCGAGTATATTGAATATCTGTTATATTTTATAGCTCGGAGAACCTCTGTTAAATAGATAAAAGAGGTTAATTAAAACGTTAAAGCGTTAATCGAAGTAAATACTAGGCAAATACAAAACTTATCAATCATGATTTTTGAAACGTTCTTATGCTGGATTTATGTTGGCATCTCTGAATGTGCTTTAATTCAAGCTACTTACAAATCAACGTACCACTGTATAAAATATTTGATATTCTGACCAATTATTTGGCTATGCGTCAGTCAGATTAACATGTCATGTATTAATTAAAATATATAATTTGGCCCATAATTACGACACATTTCTGCTTTTTGACATTCAATCCTCTTTCGCTCTGGCGTAGTATTTGCTTTTTCATTTTATTGAAGAGGATTCGACTCGCTAAAATTATGAAAATTACATTATAAACCAAATATTCATATTGGTTTCTAGTTTCCCAAGTGCACATAGAGGGCCATTTGGAACATTGCGGCTAGTTTGGCATTGGCTTATAATTTATATTTGCAATCTATGTGCATTAAATAGTTTTTAATTACACACTAGCTTACTTATTGCAAAACCGTAAGCCACAAAATGAACAAAGCCAAATGTTGCACAAAAGAATCGTGTGGATCAAATTTTGCTGTCATGACTGCGGTGGGCGGATGTGTGTGGTTATTGTTCGGTGATGGATTTTTTAGTTTTTCGTATACATGTTTAAGAGTTCGTTATTATTTCATAATTGCAAAATTACGGCTAACTACTAGGTCAGTACCTACATTATGAATTCATAGAGACTCGAATATATTTAAATTCGAGACATCATTTTAATAAAATTAAGTCTCGACTTTGACGACATCCAGGGTACATATTCGAAGCATATATATATGCCAGAAATTGCATAAGATTACTTGGTCCTAAGCACCTTAGAAAGAATCGGTCGCAAGCTGAGAATTTATTTAAGCCTCCGAGCAGTCACAAAACAAGGCAAGTTCCATAATGAACCAAAACATATATAACTTTATACAGCTCTTTTAGAATCAGACAACGAAAGCTTCATTTGATGTAAAATGTCAATAAATTCAAATGTAAGTTCCTAAAATGTTGATTATGATCTCATTAGATTAGTGCAACTGCGTGCCCCGCAGATAGCAAATTTTAATGGTATAGACTATTATTCAACCTTTGGTTATAGCAGGAATTCGATATTGGATACATTTCCTATTTAAAACGAAACAAAACTTTGCCCCCAGTTTGATAAGCGCTGTTATCGGCATGCCCTTAATATAAATATATATATATATATATATTTAATTGTCACCACAAGATAAGGTCATCAAATTTTGGTAATTGTTTAATTTATTTATTCAGTCTTGAGGCATGTCTTTAACGCCAGCGTTAAAAGAAAAACTACAAAAAACTTCTGAAGTCACGAAACATTCGAGTACTTGGGGTTTGCGAATAATTAAGACATCACCTTGAATACAGAAACCGCTCAGAAATAAACGCACATCAGCAAAAATGGAAATGTAAATAAAATGCAAATATTAGAAATTAAATCGAGACGAAACCTGTTTGCGGACTTTCGAATCTCTTGGCATACGTATGTACAGACAGTAGAGATGTATTAACATATACCTTTAAATGTTGTTACTCCGCGGAAAAAGCAAAAGCAAACGCAAATACGGTCCATAATCTCTTACCGGTTGGGGTTCAAGCCATGTGTGTGAGTTTTGAAAAGTTGTTTACTACCAACGTGTGTAACCTTTCATACCTACAAATTGAGAAATTGTGATTTGAAAAGCTTGCACAAATGCAGTTTACGATATGCTTGCCATTGCGCTGTCAAATTACCCAATAAGTTCAGCAATAAACGAATAAAACTGATTGAAATCTGAACTTGACAGCTGCATAATAGATAATATTTATGGCTTGAGGGTCTTGCTACGTACGGAATAGAAAACCAAGCAGTTCCACAAATGAGCTGTATTACCAATTAGACAGAACTATTAAGTAATTTAGAGCGCGGGGCTGGGCATTTATAAAAAATCAGCTCAGTGGAATAACTATTTGTTTTGCATTTGCATAGGCTTACAATAGATAAACTTAGCATACAACGAAATCTTTAATAGCCTTACGGCTGCTCGCATTTAATTATAAACGTGTGAATTAACTGAATACACCGCAATCGCATCCTAAAGTCTTACAAGCAGCTCATCTGCAACCGCGTGATGCTGCTGCGGTTTGTGTTTCGCATTGAGTACGTTTCGAAAGATACTTTTTCTAAATGTAATTCGTAACTTGGCTAGACGGCTTAGCAAATGTCAAGCGATCGGCGAACTAGATTGAAGCTCGCGATTCGCATGTGTGAGTGCCCGATGCCAATTGTAACGAGCAACCTCTGTCAGCCCGTCATACACGTCCGTCAACCTTGAGATTTATTAAATTAAAAAAAAAAAGAAGCAATTAAAATTGTGTTAGCTAGAACGGCGCTTTTGAACACTTTGGCGGCAAAACTTAACGGACCGGCGACGGAGATTAAGAAAGCAAAAGATTATACTATACAATGTTATGTATGGGCCATTGGGACAAGCCCTTCATATAAATTAAAATGATAACAATATCTAGAGCGGGCGATAATTAAAACTGACAGTCGGATAACTGAATCTAACGTTCAGTTAATGCAGTTCTTGCCTGGATAAACGGAAATGCCGCATCTGCCGGCCGCGTGATAAGCGCAAGCATGTCTGATAAGAGCCGCTGATAAGAACAGGCACGCTTGGTAACGGTCAATAAGTGTTTGACCTGCTGCAGTGTACACATTAACACTCACCCAATTTGCCCATAAGGTCCTCCAAAACATAATCCACAGCCATATTTTCTTAAATGCTGTGCGCGGCGCGTTAAAAACAAGTTGGTTCCAGGTGCAAATACCTTTATTTTATTAAGTAACCTTTTCAAGTGATAACAATTTGCATTTTCCGTACACGTTCTGCTCAGTGTTATACAATTGATGTAACAAAAGTTCTGTCTCCGATTATCAATGGCACTGAGACAACCGATTTGAGGATCGGACTGAAACTCCAAGCAGTTCAATTTGCGCTGGAGATTGGCAAGCGCCGCCGAACGGGCAAAAAGCTGAATGCGAACTGAATGGGCTTTGAGTACGCGAAATGTTTCGAGTCGTGACTGAATAACACTCACAAACTATAATATGAAAACAAACAGACTCTCACACAAACAGCGATAACGCACCGCTCCCGCTCACATATGGAAGAGCTTGGCAATGGAGAGTGGATCGGATCGCGGTGTTTGAGTATTTGCTGAATTTGTTGTTTCTATTGTTGTTGCTGTTGCCTCAGTTCGCTGACATAATTCTCGATCGATAAGCTTAGGAATCAATAGAGAGTATACCTATAAATCAGCATCACATGTGTGTTTCTATACAGCGTACGGCTCGTCAGATTAGGTTGTGTACAGTGCGGGAAACACATGTAGGATCAATATGCAAACCATCTTGTACCCAAGTATTATAATACGTTATTGACTAAAATAACTTTGACTTTCGCATTTACTTATTATACGGTTATTATACCTGCCCGCAACTGGGTTACTGGTTGCTACTGATCTGCAAAAGCCTTTTGATCAACCAATCTCAAACTCTGTTGGCAAGCGAAAGTTATCTTCAAGAAATAGATCAAATTAATGTTAAGAAAAAGTATCATCATCATCATCAAAGTATCATCCTATTAGAATTAGTAGAAAACACACGTTCGTCTACGTGTAAGTTCGTATAAGCTATATGCTTTGAACTTTCTATTGTTGACTCAGTAGCCTATTTGTAATATGTTTTAAAGATCTGTTCGACATACATACATATGTGTTACATAAGGATTTTTTTATTACTAAATTATACTGTCTTTAAAATTTAAGATTTTACGTTTTCGACTTTTTAATTTGCAATGCATGAACCATCGATATCGGACCCAATGTCCTTTTTATACTTGGACATGTTATCAAATCTGTTACTAGAAGACGTCAAGGAAATCGGAAAAGAGTTCGATATAAAAATTAACTTTATACGCCAGCAGGAACGGAGCTGTTTGGAGAATGCAAAACAAGTGAGAGCCAAAACTTTAGTCCTTTTCGAGGATATAACCAGCCTAATAACTGTCTGCAGCTCATTTCCGTCGATCAGTTTATAAAAACGATGAGGGACTGTCTTTTTCAAATGGAGCTGGAATTGCAGGAGAACGAAGCTGATTTGCTCAATGTGGAAAAATCCATTTCGCGGTACCAGGCATCTTCCATATATTTTGACAAAGGACCAGATGCAATTCGTCTAATGCCTAGAAACTACCTGCTTTTCTTAAAGCTACTTTTATCGGCGGATTGCTCGGCAGCACAATGTAACAATCTAAGGGCAGAGCTCGACCAATATAATAATGAGGCCCTGAAGTGTTTAGACTCTCCTAAAGTGGTGAGAATACGCAAAGCAAAGCGAGCCTACCTATCAAATCACATTTAATGTATTCCCATAGATCACCAAGATCATGGACTATCATTTAAAGACGCTCAATACACTGGAGAAAAAGCTGAATCATCTGCAATCCTTGAGTGACAATGTGGCCAAAAGCTATGATCAAATGGCCAAAAAACTAAATATAAGCAGCCTGAGCACCAAGTGCTCCTGCAAAATGGCAAATATTATCAATGATATACGCATGAACTGACAGCATGAAACGCCTGATTACAGCATAATTTTAATGTATTTCAAAAAATAACTTTTAACATAATGAATATGATACATATGTATGTATGTAGGTTTTTAAATGCAACGCATGTTCAACTGTGTTCTTAATAGTCTTAAGTTTAGGCTAAGGTTTGGCTTGTTGTTAGTTGGAGTCGCGGAAGAAGAGCACATCATCCGCTATAATGCTGGTGCTTGTCTTTTGATTGCCCTGCTGATCGGTGATCTCGCCATAGGTAATCTTTCCCTGGACCATGGTGCGTTGACCCTTCTTCAGGTACTCCAGCACCGTGTCGCGTAGATTGGGCTTGAAGACAACCACTCGGTGCCAGTCGGTGCGTTGCGCCCAGTCGCCGTTCTCGTATCTGAACGATTAACGCATATGAAATGGATCTTTTGCAATCTTTTGGTAATTTCAACTCACTTGTAGTTGGTGTGTGTTGCCACGGAGAATGTGACCACCGGATGCTCCTGCGATCCGCGCAGCTGCGGATCGGCTCCCACTCGTCCCAGTATGGTCACGGTATTGACAGCTGCGTTTTAAATGCATAATTGAAACATGTTAATTTGGTTATTGCACAATAATATGTATATAAAAGTAACTATTTACTTTTTTCAATTTTGGCGGGTGCCGCCGCGGTCGTGCTTGTTGCACCTCGTGCCGGCAAATTCCAAAGTCCATTTAAGACTGGCTTAAGCTACAAATGCAATGATTGATACTATTATATATGTTTTGTTTGTCGTTGTAAAAACGTAAAGCTTACAATCCGTTTACTTTGTTGCATCATGTTCTCGGCGTGTTTTGTAAAGCGGCAACGCGATTTTTAATTTGCTTAAACAGCTGTTTACGACTAACGCAGCCAACTTAACCTAATTGGCATATGCTTGTGGCGCACTCTGTTGTGAATTTTGAAAGCATATCGACTAGTCGATAAGTTATTAACTTCCTCTAAACATTTCCGTTAAGTGTGCACTTATTTAAAAATTTAAATATTTTAAAACAAACGCAATTGCTAAGCATAAGCACAAGAAATAAAGCTGATTTTTTATTTCGCTAATCAACAACTAAATCTGTTATGTAGCTACTACAGGGTTGGTATACTAGCAAAAGCACACATACGATTTAACCATCATCTACGTTAATGTACTTAAGTACCGTATAAGAGCAATTAAAATACGTTACTTCTTTTTTTTGCCAGCGGTGTAAGCCTAGGTAACTAAACAATTGTCTGATTAGCCAGCTTAAAATGGGAATGGGGAATAATCCAGTACTAATAGAAACTCTAACACAAGACCACATGCTCTATCGGATACATTTGGAACTACCAAATGTTGGCAGAAAAAGCTAACTGCTCTAGAACTTTTACTGCGGAATTTTTGAATACTAAAATAGTGTTGAGTGACTGGGGCGCGCTCTATTGGTTGTTGTATGAAACCGATTATTTTGGGTAGCTAAAGCAGGTTGTCACTGAATTTGAACCAAGTGCAATTAACAGGCGCTAGGGGCGCTTTTGCACATTTTGTTTTATAACAACTTGATTAAATATTAATTTCGCTGTCTCCAAATAAAATTCATGCAGATCTGTTTGAAAAGTCTCGACATTATATGTGCTATATACACTGTCAATCTGAAATTCCATTCAATTCTCTTTTATGTTTTAAGAATTGCCCTTTGCACATATCAGAGATAGTTATTTTTTATGCATAGAATATCCTTCGTTTAATAATTAGCCAATGCGATGCAATGTGTATCTACACAAAAACAGTGGTGGAAACATTAAATTTGACCTAATTATAAAGCAAGTTAAAGTTATGGAAAGTTAAAGTACAAAAATTGATAAATAAAAAGCAAGTGCTCAGGGCCTGTCGCAACTTTCAATTAAATATGGCATTCACTAAAACGAACGCAAGTCGGAACAGGATGTACGATCGCCGATTGTCTTCGGGTATGGCCGAAGCCTCATTTACGAGCCACCATCGGGCAGCTCCATTTTGTTTTTGGCACAGTTGATAAGCTGTCAAGGCCCATAAGATGTCGGCATTGATTTCCACTCGGCAGAGGGCGGCGGTGCGGTGCGGTGCGTCCAGCTGCGGTGAACCTGATTCAAAACGGAAGAATAAAATCGTTCGTTGAATATATTTTCGTTTCTCTTGCTGTACTGCAACAGCAGCCTTAGCCAGCTCAGAGCCGCAAGAGCAATAACAACGACCAAAACAACCAAACCAACAACAACAACAACAACAACAACAAACACAACAACAGCATCTCCACAACTCTACGACTTTGCATTCAAATTCAGGCGATGACGACAGCCAACCGACATCGGCGGGCGGGCAGGCGGCGAGGTCGAAGTCGAAGCAGTCGTTGTCGTTGTCGTTGTCGGAGTCGCAGTCGGTGCCGAGCTGGTGCTCAAAGAATATGGCCAGCCCTAGTCCCAGCCCAGTCGGAGTCTTGAAGTTATTCCAATAGTGAGTCACAAGAGCCATTTCGTAGGGTGCTACGACAGTTAAAGACAATATGGCCGTCAGCCGACTGCAACGGATGTCAAACTGGGAAGGGTTTCAGTTTTAGACCCTTTTTGAATTTTACTTTGAAAGTTGTCCAAGTTACATTTAAAATATAAATACATGCAAAGCTACGTATTGGACATATCAAATTAAGAGCCCTCAGTCCTTAAATCTATTTAGAGCTCAAAAAGATCTTATATGTTCTCAAACGTCTCATTGTCTATTTGCCATAAAGTTGAGAAAAATTGTTTATTTCTTTAAAGTATATGGGATATTCAGTCCATTGAATTAGTTTCCATGATTAACTGTATGAATATCATGACAATCATGCTGTTAATATATCGTTTCTAGAACCGTGCTCTTTTCATTATATAATGTTTTTCCCATTTCTTCCCATATTATGTAGCGCATAGCTATCCTCAGTGAAGCCCCAATCTATGGCATTATTCACGCTGTCGTTTTTTAGTGCTGTCGTCGTCGTCGGTTCGTCGGTCGGTCGGTCGGTCGCTCTGTCGCTTTGCCTCCCCTCGCTTCGCCCCGCCTTACCCGGCCTCACCATGCCTTGCCTTGCCACTGCCGTCGTTTGCTGGCGTTGTTTCCAGCGCGCGCGTGTAGCTGGGCATTTGTATGTGTATTCGTATACGTGTCTGTATATTTGTGTATGTGTGGGTTGCGTATCTGTATCTGCTGTGCATGAGGCTATGGCTATGGCTATGGCTATGGCTGTGGCTGTGGCTCCGGCTGTTCGTTGTTGCGATACTAACGAACGAACGTCCCAAATGTCGACGTTGCTTTTGCTGTTGTTTTTGTTGCTTTTTGTATATTTTCAGTTTGTAGAGCCAACGGCGAGGCACGGCGCTCGAAGAGGGAGCTGGCTGGTTGCTGGTTGCCGGTTGGTGCTGCCGTTGCTGAAGTGGTTGCTGCTGGCTGGGCTTCTCGAGGACGTCCGTTCGTTCGTTTCGTAGCGTTTCGTTGCGTTTCGTTTCGTCTGTTGGTTCGTTTGTGCGTTTGCGTGCCAAACCAACAGCAATAGCAAAAGCAGCAACAACAAAAACTCATATTCATTTTATAGTGAAACTCAGCTCAACGCAGCTTAAGCTTAATGTACAGCAGCAGCAGCAGCAGCAGCAGCAACATTCCGCCAACTGGCAACTGGCAACTGGCAACTCGCAACTGGCAGCTTGAATGTTGTTGTTGCTGCGGCTTGGTTCGTTGCTTGGTTGGCTGCTTCGATTGCTTCGCCTTCGCCTGCGCGAAGGTTTTTGAAAAACGCGCGCAGCTGTTACAGCAATTGGGTAACATTACCCAGAGGAGCCCATTTAAACTAAAGCCACACTTTCTTGCTTTGGCAGACCAACAACATTGCAGAACAGACTTATACAAAAGCTTCATTTAAAGAACCCTTTTACATGTTAATGTTAAGCAACCAATAGAACTCTCAGAAATACAACTGAAAATTGAATTAAACATCAAAGAAACTTATGCCTGCATCTGCATCTGAAGCTGACTGCGCACATTTTGCAAAATTTAACAGAGCAACAGAAACAGAAACTGAAACTCAACCAAACGAATGTTCGCATTAAAGTTTATTTCGAAACGAACTCACTGCCAGCAGCAGCAGCAGCAGCAGCAGCAGCAACAACAGCTACAACAGCAGCAGCAGCAGCAGCAATGGCAACGGCAGCAAAAAAAATACCCAACAGCAACGCAAATGAAAAACGCCAACGAACAACGAACGAGCCAACAGCCAACGAGCGCACAGAAAGCAGCACACAACAACAACAGCAGCAGCAACAGCAACAGCAACAGCAGCAGCAGCAGCAGCACCATCACCAACAACAACAATAAAGAAAAAGAAAAATGAAAAAAAAAAAATCAAGTAAAATTACGACAAGCAAAGAGGCGGCGGCAGCGTCGAAGACGGCAGCAGCACCGTCGAAAGAAAACAAGAAACTTCATGGCAGCAGCAAAGCGTGAGGGGAGCAGAGCGTCAGAATGGCAGCGCGAGTGGGGACCGGGCCCAGTGGGAGAGAGGAAAGCAGCCACACAAAGTGTGTGACTGTTTGAGTGTGTGTGTGTGTGTGTGTGTGTGTGTGTATGTGTGTGCGGTGGGGCGAAGGTGAAGCATGCGATGGCGTTGGCTGCTATAACGTCAGGCAAGTCGCCGACGAAAACGACGACAACGATGAAAAAAAAAAACCAGCAACGAACGAACACCAGCGCCAGCAAAAATGTATAATAAAAGTAGCAACAACAACAACAGCACCGAGAATAACAACGACAGCATAAGCAGCAAACGTTGAAGGCAACAACGATGGCGATGCTTGCAACTGCGACCAGTGCCAGTGCCACGCCAAGCAGCCAGTCAACTATCCAACAACCAGCACAGGGCACAAGCTGCTTCCAGAAAAGCTTATACCAAATACCCTTCATCCTGGTTAAAGTAGTTATTATAAAATATATACATATATATATGTATGTATATATAAATATTAAATGATTATATATTTATTTATATATAGATGTAATGATAGCTTATCCTACTCGGAATAATTACGTTCATTATTACTTTTATTATATACATGCATTTGTATATATGTATATACTTTTCATGCATGACATCCATCCCAATTTTTTCAACATATATCCGAAAAGATTTAACTATCCTTTCAAATAGCTTAATGATACGTACAGCATACCGTATTTCAAAACAGTTCATAGATCATTTGAAACTAATAAGCTTTTAGACTCGAACAATAATCTCTATATATAAAGCTGTTTGTTCTGATTGACCGACTGACTGACTGATAGGGGATCAACACACAGCCGAAATCAACGAAAAGCAGACATTTTTACTATAGTTACCTGTGTGATGAAGGTGCACTCTAAGGCGGGGTTTCGGGAAATTCCAGCCGCAAGTATGCAAAAATCAAACTTAATTTAAAAGATCTTTATTCAAGTTCATTTAAGGGGTGTTTCGCACATTTTGAAAAATGCGTCCCTTCTTGGTGTAAATGGGGGTCAACGATTTGGTGAGTGACATTTCGCGCTCAAATTCATTGCCAACGATCTAATTATATGAAAAATCATTTGAGATGTGTTTCACATTTTTTACAAAATCTAAACTCTTTCGGTGGAGAGTGCATTTTAAAGATATTTTGGGTGAATTTTAATTTGTGTCCAATTTGAATCAAACTTATTTTCAAAGTTCTACCGTTCGTTCAGTTTCAGAATCATTTTCAAAGCTTCTTGAGAACATTGATTTTATAACATAACGGGCAAGACCGGGTTATACCTGCAATCAAAATATATATTACCAATGCACCCAACATAAATATTGCTCTGTTTTATTTGGTTGAT